AGGAACAATACCATAATAGAAAAAAAGAAGAAAGGAGATTTAAAAACACTTAGGAAGAAAAGGAAGGAAGCAAGAGGGGAACAAAGGACACAAGAAGAATAGAAGGAAAGGAAGAAGGAAAGAAAGGAAATACAGGAAAGCATGAAGTTAAGAACTTCATCTTTCAGTGTTATTTAGACTTAAAAACTACTCAGATGGAATTCCAGGCTGCGTTGGAATCCAGTAAATGATTTATTGTTATACAGGAAGAGCAAACACTGTTCTGCTCTGGTTGTTGCTTCCCATGACTTCTTCCTCTGTAGCAACATGCCTCTCTTACTTTTGCAAACTAAATACACACAACTGGTAAACAACCTAAAACAAGTGAAAGAAATAAAAGGAATAAACACAGGAATAAGGACACTGATATGCAGTGAAAGTTATTGTTCTGTATGATCTCATTGGTCTTTGAGCAAAACCAACAGCTGTCCAGGATTATGAAAACTGCTGCCTGCAGCTGTCTTTTCAACAAGCCATATCTCCATTCCCTCAAGCAGCAAAGCAACAACTTGTTGATACAAATCTGCAACCCACCCACACACACATTCATATTATGTCTTACTATCTTTACGGGGACTCTTCACCGATTTTCATTTATCTAAAATGCCCTAACCCAGTCCTTTACCCTAACCTGAAATCATTTCATACATTAGTCATAAACCCAAAATCGTCTCCTCTTGGGCACCAGTTGTTGGTCCCCGGGATGTAGCAAAGTCCAGGAAAACTGTCCCCAAAAGGTATCAAAGACATGCCCACAGACACACGCAATGTAGAAAAGCCATCACACAGACAGTACAGCCATGAAACCATCGTGCTCAGGTTCAACACAATCATCTCACATATTCTGAATGCACTAATCCTGAGTATATGTATGACTGGTTTGCCTCAACATAACAGTAATAAACAGGGATGATTATTTTCTACATCAACTGTAATTGATTGATTCATTGCTTCCATCCTTTGCTTATTTCTTCTAATATTCGATTGTCAGTCAAACGTTCCGCCCACAGTATCCATCCATCCATGTGGAAACAGGCGGACACTGAAAAATGAACTGGCAGTAATGATGCAATAAACTTAAATGTCTCTACTAATTCTTATTTGATTTGAGTTTCTGAGTTAGACTGAATCAGAGACACTTTCAGGGAGGGGCACTGAGTTACAGATGGGATCTAAAGCTAAAGTTACTAATGAAAAGAAACAACTACATAAGCCGGCTCAATGATTTCAATGATTTGCAAGATATCTCCCTTTTTCACAAATGTTTTTTAATACATAAATATATATGCATCTAATCCATCTTTAATCCATCTTTACAACAAAACCCAAAAATAAAATCCAATATGTTACCTATAGCTGGTCAATGTACAGGACATGAAGGAAGGTATTGTTTTAAAAACTCTTTATTTCTTCACATCTATGCTTGGTTGAAGTTGATCAAAAGCACTAAGGGTGATAATGTAAACTATGGTAAAAACAGCACAGAAAGGCAGAGAGATCATTGCTTTAATACTACAACAAAAGTCTGAACATGATGTCCGTTTGTTTCTCCTCTTCGAGCGACAAAAACCAACTTCCTCCACAGGCAAGTTTCCACTTTGAGTTCCTGTTGGATATTTCTCTGGAACCCACTTTCCAAAAAGCATTTTTATGTCACTAAGCTTTTTTCTCTGTTTTTTTACTCGTTGCAAGGTCTAAAAACTGCTGTCCAGCATGCAAAACAGTCAAATCAAACCAAGCTGCGATCTGTCACCCCAACGGTGAGGAAAAGCAACTATTAAATGAATGGTGCTGATGAGAGGGACAAGAGAAGAATAAGTTTTATTAAGTTCTTATAGAGATTATTTAATTCTGTTTTAGAGCCTTGCTCTAAAACAGAATTGGAGAAAACTGGTTTTCTCAAAATAAGTTTGCAACAATCAACATATTCTTAATAATTAAAGCCTGATGAATCCGGTAGAAAAATAAACAAAACTAACAAAGCAGTTGTTTCTCATTTGAAATTTTAGATGTGTACGATCAACAAAACAAAGAACTAAAATATTCTGACTTAACTAGGAAAAATCTCTTCAGAAAGCTTTTTTTGAACCAAGGTTGCAAATTTTGAAACGATAATAATCAGCAAGGCTGGCTGGGTTTTAACAAAGCGTTTTCCCAGATGAAAACATACAACTCCAATCACCTCATCTAGAGTTCCACAAAAACTCTGTGCAGCTCTTCTAGAAGCTGAAGCTCATTTCTGTTAACAGAAAGCAACACCTGCTCATACAGCAGTTGCCTGGAGCCATAATTTATGGGGCAGTAAGACGGCTGGAAGAAGAGCGAGCTACATAGTTACTGAAAAACATATCGTTTACACACACTCACACTGATGGCATGTTGGTGTGCATAGAGCAGAGGTTTTATCGGAAGGCAGTTAAGAAGATGCCAAGCTGCATCGCAGATTCTAGCAGCTCATAAAGTTGATATAAGCTCTGAGGAACTGGTCAGCTGCAGTAGCGTATGGGTGTGTTTGCAGGGCGAAGAGATCTCAAGTGTTGATGATGCTGATGAAGGATGTTGCCATGACGGCGAGCCATATGTTATCAAGACGACTGGGCCGGTCCTGATTGAGATGAAAGCTGCTAATGCACCATAAACACACTAAAACACACACATTCTTGTATGCTACATACTGAGGAGCAGGTGTTGACTTTGATTGAGTTTCATACTGTTTAACATCACTTTAAATATCATTATTATATTCAGCCCCATCTATTCCCTAACCATAAAATAATCCTAAATATTACTGGTGCAAAACCAAACCTAACCCAAACTGATTTCACATTTTGGTTCCTTAATACGACCACGTATAGATTCAAATTCAAGAACTGATTTGATTCTTATTCTCAAGTTGATTCTCGATTCTGTTGGATCTGATCACAAAGTGGATTATTGTATAAAAAAAAACTGTTACTTGAATGACAAGAAAATGTAATCATGCAATATATTGATACTAGTATTATATTAGCACTGTTGCCCTGCAGCAGGAAGGTTCTGGGTTTGATTCCTTGCCTGGGGTCTTTCTGGATGGAGTATGCATGCTCTCCCCGTGTGTACGTCGGTTCTCTCCGGGTGCTCCAGTTTCCCCCCCACAATCCAAAACCATGACTGTTAGGTTAACTAGCATGTCTAAGTTGTCCTTAGGTGTGAGTGTGTGCATGTGTGGTTGTATGTCTCTATGTCTCTGGCGACCTTTCCAGGGTGGACCCTGCCTCTCACCCAAAGACGTCACGAGATAGACACACGGCCCACAGTGATGGAATAAACAAGAAAAGATAGATGGGTATATATAAAATATATAATAAAAAAATATATAAATAGAGTAATGGTAGTTAATGACAGCTGTAAGAATAGTGGAAAATATATTTTTTAATCATTGGTTATGTGAATCAATCTTTAAGATTAGTATAGTTTTAGAATTGGAAAATCTATTTTTTAAAACGCATATCTGTTCCTAAACTTAATAATAGGCAAAAGAGGAAGTGAGAAAAAGGCCCTCACTCTGATACCAAAAAGCAACCCCCCTATGGCCTTTGTCTAAAACACACAAAACACTGCAGATCACCCTTAATGCAATACTTTTACTGTGAAAACATAGGGGTGACAGCACCAAGCCGAGGGGAAAGTTTTCTTTATAAAAGATGGAGAACCTGGTTGGAGGGGATGGATTACAGATAAACACACTGAAAGGAGAAAGTTGCAAAGGACATAGAGACCAGAGCTGATGTTCAGCTTTGAGGCCATCTTTTACATAGATGCACTGCTTTGTGAATATAACACACCAAAGCATTTTTAAAACAGCTTGAATAGGTTCAAGAGGTAGCAATACTTTTCTCAAGGCACAATACATTCATAACATAAGGGGCTTCTCTAGACTCTAAGTCAGTCTTTCAGAGGTCGGAGCTATGAAGCAGTTTCTGCTGGGAGATGGAGTCCTATAAGGTGAGGAAAAAATAGGTCAGAGCAAAAAAAAAAAAAAAATGGTTTTAAAGGAGAAATGCTGACTGTTTGCTGTGATTAAGTGTACTCAGGCCAGCATGAGATGAGTGGAAATAGATTACACCATGTGCACACATGCAGGAGGAAACACTCTGAGAAGAGCTAAGGCTGTTTTGAAGGTTTCATCTGGGATCAACACCAGCAGTGACAATCTCTGCAAGCACTGTGGGAACCGAGGAATGACTTAGCATGCGAGCAATGATGCAAACGGCTGGCAAACTGCACTTAGGCTGCTGATTTAAATATGCCATACGTGAGAAACAGAGCCTATGATGGCCTCAGTTAGAATGTAGCCCCATGTAATAAAAACAGTTTAGCAGAGGGGGAAGGGAGCAAACCTCTAAACACATACACATGTTCTCACTGGTAATCACTGCCATGCATCCCATCTGTCACAGTCCCCTAAAACTAGAACAATACAGCATTCCCAGATCAGACTTCCAGTTAGAGGAGACACACACATCTATAAAGCTGCACATGCATGCTTAAACAGACCCACTCAGACTGCGCTAGAACTCTAACCCCACGGTGAAGCCGCTGGCAGACCCCGACAAATCCACCTACCCTCATAATTGACAATCACAATGGCCAGCATATAGTCTTTCCCCAGCATCATAG